CTCTGTTACTAAATAAATGGAAACATGCTTATCCTGCCACTTTTGAAACAAGCTAACAAATGGGAGCGCATTCTTGGAACATCAAAAGTAACATGGCTGGGGTTTGTAGCAAAAGCTAGACATGTTGCAAAGGCAACAGAAAACACACCACAATCACTGCCAGTATTTTGTTGCTGCACAGGTACAGAATTAAGACTGATCAAATTCTCACCTAGTAGGTCATTTGTCTGTTCCTCAATCTCTTGGCAAACGGCAGGATGAAATAAGCTATCATAGAGGTTAACTATGCCAGGGGTACATCCTATTTAGCTTACACAAACCCAGTGATCACTTCCAGTGTCTAAGATTTGAATAAATTCACCAGACTCTACATCGAAGTTTCTAACTCTACCCAAAATTGGGCGCTGAAAACCCCCAATTGATTGATTTTCTTGTTTTATGAGGAGATGAGCATGCTGAATAATGTCCCAAGTAAGCCATCCAGTAGGATCTTTGATAATGTTATAGTCTGAGCTGTCTAACCCCTTAAGAGCACTGAATTTGTTGATAGAGCCAGTTGACACTTTCGTAATCTCAATATCCCTGTCATCAACGTCTTATAAGTTTGAAGCAACAGGTGACTCAGGTAATGAAGAAGCAGAAGTGGTAGTAGTGGTTTTCTTTCCACTGCAATCAGGACACAACCAGGTTGTTTTGGAATTGTTAGGCAGTCTTTTCAATCCCAAGCACCACAAATGAAAAAAATGTTCATTTTTACAGGTAGTGTTGTGGCACTCAACCAGCCTATCTTTAGTGGATGCCTTGCCATTACAAACACAAATAGTATTATATTTCATTGCAGCTTGATGGATTGTAGATTGCACTTTTTGGTTTGAGGCTTTCTTTCCTTTCTTATACTGTGAAAGCTTACAGCAATGAGGACAGTACCATTTCTTAGGTATCGACACATTATCTAAAGCCAACATGTTTTATGGAATTTTCCATAAGGTCAATCAACATTACTGCAGGGTATTACTCCATCACTATGGCTCCCTCGACAAAAGCAAATCGCATTCTCATCAGGCACTCTGTCAGGCTGATCACACCTTCTAGTGTACCACCTTCCAAGCATCTCTGGAAGGATACCAATTCTCCAGAAAACTTCAAGCTTTGACATCACATTCTTTGAGTGTTCTTTGTCAGGGTTTATTCGGTCACAAACAGTTTGAGAATTTCCTTGTGAATCTCTTGAAAAGACAACAAAGTCACAAAATTTTCTCTCAGGTAAGGTAAATAACTGCTGCTGTACTTGATAGTAATAATTATGGGTTCTTCTAAGCTTCAATTTTCCATTCACATCCTCAAGACAGGATGTTGATTTGTGACTATACTCCTCAAAGTTGCCATCCTTGATTGAAATAGGGCATTTCACTTCCCCACAACCCAACCCACAGCAATCACAAGAGACTAAAAAATCTGGTGTTGCATGAATGTAAGGATACTCCTTGTTTATAAACAGTCCACATCTCTTGAGTTCAAAGTTTATATGTTGCTGTTTCATGACCTGTTCATAAGCTCTAATGGCAGATTCCTCATACTTACAACCATATTTAACTGCTTTGATGTTAAGTTTGTACAAGTGAGGATAGCATACTGATTGTATGAGTGATTGTGAAGGCTGCGCAATATTAGTATGGTAGGCAGCACCACAGACAGAGGCTCCAATTCTACCAGCACGATGTCTGAAGAACCCTGAACCCTTTGCTTGGGTCTTGGTATCTTGTTCAACAATTTCAATTTCTTCCTCAGAAATGTTAATTTCGACCTCTAAACACTTGTTCAACAGCTCTGTATACTTAAGATCTAAATTACGTGGCTCGTAAAGATCAGTTACAACTGGTACATTGCGGCCTATCTATAGTGGATGCCTTGCCATTACAAACACAAATAGTATTATATTTCATTGCAGCTTGATGGATTGTAGATTGCACTTTTTGGTTTGAGGCTTTCTTTCCTTTCTGATACTGTGAAAGCTTACAGCAATGAGGACAGTACCATTTCTTAGGTATCGACACATTATCTAAAGCCAAACATGTTTTATGGAATTTTCCATAAGGACAATCAACATTACTGCAGGGTATTACTCCATCACTATGGCTCCCTCGACAAAAGCAAATCGCATTCTCATCAGGCACTCTGTCAGGCTGATCACACCTTCTAGTGTACCACCTTCCAAGCATCTCTGGAAGGATACAAATTCTCCAGAAAACTTCAAGCTTTGACAACACATTCTTTGAGTGTTCTGTGTCAGGGTTTATTCGGTCACAAACAATTTGAGAATTTCCTTGTGAATCTCTTGAAAAGACAACAAAGTCACAAAATTTTCTCTCAGGTAAGGTAAATAACTGCTGCTGTACTTGATAGTAATAATTATGGGTTCTTCTAAGCTTCAATTTTCCATTCACATCCTCAAGACAGGATGTTGATTTGTGACTATACTCCTCAAAGTTGCCATCCTTGATTGAAATAGGGCATTTCACTTCCCCACAACCCAACCCACAGCAATCACAAGAGACTAAAAAATCTGGTGTTGCATGAATGTAAGGATACTCCTTGTTTATAAACAGTCCACATCTCTTGAGTTCAAAGTTTATATGTTGCTGTTTCATGACCTGTTCATAAGCTCTAATGGCAGATTCCTCATACTTACAACCATATTTAACTGCTTTGATGTTAAGTTTGAACAAGTGAGGATAGCATACTGATTGTATGAGTGATTGTGAAGGCTGCGCAATATTAGTATGGTAGGCAGCACCACAGACAGAGGCTCCAATTCTACCAGCACGATGTCTGAAGAACCCTGAACCCTTTGCTTGGGTCTTGGTATCTTGTTCAACAATTTCAATTTCTTCCTCAGAAATGTTAATTTCGACCTCTAAACACTTGTTCAACAGCTCTGTATACTTAAGATCTAAATTACGTGGCTCGTAAAGATCAGTTACAACTGGTACATTGCGGCTCTTTGATACAAATTGATCAGCATATGGGTCAATTAAAGTTAACACTGCAGCTTTTGTTTCGCACTTATTGAGCCTTTCATAAAAATTTAAAACCTCTTGTGCTGAAACAATTGTGCTCGAAGTGATCTTTGGTTTAACAGTCTTGTTTTGATCGAAGCGTGTATCTTTGCCATCAAAAGAATCGATCTTACTGTCTAGTTCTTCTTTCAGCTTTTTAGCTGAAGTAAAATTGATTTCCTTTGCTCTAGCATAGGCCACTTTGTCGACGTACGTTGGAAGGAGCCACGTGCACTTAACTTGCGTACAAGCTAGCTTCCCATTAATTCGCGTCCAGCATTCTAGGTAAATAAGGACACTGGCGATGTGAGAGCACGATTCAGCCAAACCTGCCTTACATCCTAAACAATGCGCAGAAAAAACTCTTCCATTTGTCCCATGTATAATCCAAATAGTTACAAGAGAGTCATTCATTCGTTGTGAATGGCGAACCTTTGCAACAACAACATGCTTTTCCAAAACCAGGTAACCTTTGACTGAAGCAACAAACCCGGATACCACTTGATTGTAAGCTTCTAGACTCTTGTAATTTTTAAACTGTTCGGTCGTGTAATAACTTGTCTCTAAAACCAAGAAACTAAACAAGTCCGACCGTTCAACCGGAGGTAAATTCTCTGCATCGAGCTCTTCTTCGGGGATCGTGACCGGATCAATGCCTATTTTCGCTATCTTTCGATATATCGTTGCTTTACATCATCCTTAAAAGACACAGCATACTTGGATAGAACAGGTACCGACATTTAAGATCATTTAGAAGCGATTTTTAGCACATGAATAAAGAATTACTATAGAACTGGCCTTGGTTAGCAAATATTTCACACCTCAGAGGGGCACAATAATGGCGGTCACAAATTTGCATGATTTTCGTGACGTCACATGCAAGTCACCAATATTTCCCGATGGCTAACTACACGTTGTTAAATGCAATTACTACATATTGAATATCAGTGATTACAACTTTAATCCAAAAAATTATACATGTATCATGTGTTATTAAAAAAATCATAGTTACATATATATCACATAAAAAATCACAAATGTGTCCTAAAAATAATAGAGCCGGAGCACCAACTCCTTGTAACAGAAAGGGCAAAATAATTAAATATCTTATATCTGGGCTAATCACTACGTTTTCGTGATAAAAAGTGATATACATTGTCAACATCATAATTACCATCACTAATTTGCAAGGCATGTATGCCGTGTGTACAAGTTCTACCATGACATATGACATATGAAGTCCTGCTGATAAAAGTATTTTGAATTACATAGAACTGGAACAAAATATGAGCAACTGTATTGAGTGCACCATCGTACTAACTAATTTTCGACATGAAGACCTTTGGCTTGAAGCATTGCTTTTCCGCCATCTGGAAGAAACTGAAGAGTACGTGACGGTACAGTAATGGCGGAAATTTCAAATTTCTGGTCGTATTCTTTCAAACACTTCGTTAGAAAATGAAAGTACACATTTCCACAACCTTTCCAGACTTATCGGTCCGCTCACGGACTCCCACACTTTTGATTAACACTATGTCAGCCTGAATGAAGGACACTCTACACTGCTCACAACGGGGAACGGGTTTACAGCGGTAACCCACCTGAGAATTTGACATCTTCAGTTTTCATTGCAGTTGCGATACACAATCCCGCATGTTCTTTTTCCTTTGTCCAATTTTCATTGGAAGTCAATTGATAGCTCTACTCCCATGATTTTTCCCAGGAATAAACATTTAAAGTGGCTCTATATTTGAAAATATTGAAGGGCCGCAGCCAGGATAAAACATAGTTTAAATATAAAAACGATCTCCGGCTAAAATGATTAAAAACTACGCGCTTTCGACTGCCTGAACTGCAGTCTTCAACGGGTAAAATGAATGATAAGAAAGCGATGAGAAAATTTAAATAAGGACATGAAGTGCGAAATAATGAGAATGTAAATGATTATGAATATTTGTTAAAAAGAATGTTGTGTTGTCCAGGTAACGGGTAAGAATTGTTATCTGCGTTAGGTGCCACTCTGGTATGCCACGCTTCTAATGTTTTTCTCATTCTAAAGGTGCCTTTGTCAATAATTGACGCGTTTTCAAAATCAATGGCGTGGTTGTTGGAGCAGGCGTGACTAACAACTCTAGAACCTTTGGCCGCAGTTTTGATATTTCTCAAATGTTCTTTTTTTCGGGTATTAAAAGCTCTACTGGTTTCCCCCAATAACACCACGAACAATTTGCACAGGGAATTTTATACACAACGTTGGTCTGCGGTTCCATTGAAGGTCGGAATTTCGGAGCTGGGAACTGTTGTTGCAGAGTGGTAAATGGTTTGTTTACAACTGTGACATCATGTTTTTTGAGGACACTTGTCAAAGGTTCAGTTACTCCTTTGATGTAAGGAGGAGAAGCGAAAGACCTGCGTGACTCGGTTGGTTCAACCATCTTGAAAAACAGTCCGACAAGTTCCTCTGGGGATACATTTGTTGTTGAGGATCGAGTTTTTCTAGGCTGTGTGTTTTTGATGAACTTGGATGGATAGCCGTTGGAATCCAAAGCTGCATGGACATAGTTAAGTTCATGCTTTTTTCCTTCGGAGGAATTGGGTAGATTTAGAGCCTTGTGCAGGAGAGTTGATGCTGTGCTGACCTTGTGTTGTCTGTCGTGATGTTGAAACTTTGTCAATAGTGTCTTCCCAAAATATTGATTTCATGGGATTTGTGCGATCAGCTACCATACACTCAACTTTGTAATAGGTTTTGTCGTTCTCGACAACGGCTTGTTTGTCTGGTTGTTTTTTAACTTTGAGGTGAATTCGCTGATAAATAGGTGCCTCTAGAGCTTCTTCACAGGTGTGAAGCTTGTTGTCAAATTTGTCATTGTAAGGAAATGCAAGAATTGTGGAGTGGAGTTTGGCACTTTTGGAGAGAGTATATTCTTCCTTGTCAGAGAACAGTCTCTTGGTATGCTTTCTTGTTCCAATTATTTTGATGGGGGACTTCTTTTTAAAAGCTTGTTGTAATGTTGGTCTCTGCTTTGGAGAGTAGCACACCAAACGGACACTTTCTTTTTCACTAGTTTTTAGACTACAATCAAAGAAATTTGTTTGCGATTTTGTTGCAGTTTTGATGGGACTCAGCTGATGAAGATACCCTTCAAGGGCTAGAGAATAGAAAATAAGCTAACATTAGTTAAAAATGAAAAGAAACTGTGTTTAAATAACATCCAGTTATGAGATAGATGAGATACACTGTAGATCTGATAAATGTATGAGAGCTGTCATTGTTCAGTATGCCAGAAGGACGTACAAAACTTGGATCAGACTGGACTGGATCACCTAATTTTGGTAAGTGAACTCAGATCAACTATAATTTGAACTGAATAAAATTGTGTTTTGTTACAGGTAGTGCAGACTCAGAGCTCTTAAGCCTCAGACATCGAGCGTGAGATTTGAATGGATGTAATCTCACACTCTCGTACTTAAACAATATTATTTCTGATGTATTCCAGTCTTTTGATTATACAGTACAAGTTTATTTGAAGTAGGAAATTGGGAGCAAAGTATACAACATAAACTATGATCATCGCAAAAATTGATTGATTCTCAATGTTTTTTTAAGCACTTTGATACTGTATAAGTGCCTTACTTAAAGAATTGTCTACCTTACCGTGCTGATATTATGAGGAACAACAAGGGATCTAAATAGCCATTTTCAATGGAGCATAATAATAGCTCAGAAGTGTAAAACGCATGTCTTAAGGTACACAATTGTTTTTGCTAAAGGTCAAATGCTACAGGTAACCTCGCAATATAATTGGCTACTCAGAGGCGCTCTATCGACTGGTAGACAATTTTGATGCCATTGCACAAATTATGACTGTTGAAATTCTTCATGAAATAATAAAATAAAATCAAGAGAAAATTAAAGATGGTAAAATAATAAGAAAGTTTGCCAGTTGAGCTATAGACCCCTTGCATTGACGTCACACTTTATTTACATACCGTTAGTTACCATGCACCTGGAGGACCACTCCGCGATTGTTTTCGNAAAATGGTGGCTCAACCAAACCAGAGAAGCAGAGCAAGGGAAAATTTAACATTCACAAAATTGATGCAAATAATTGGTAAAACTATCATTGAAATTTTAGGTGATTGGTCAGAGTTGATCCGATAACGACTACAGGTAAGTGATACAGTCTAGCCCACTAGCCCAAATTGATCTGGTCTGATTTACAATGTATATATCTGCCTGTAGAATATACTGTACATTGTACATACTGTATGGATAGTCATCTTCTCTGGTGTCGCTGAAACAAAAAAAAGAGAGAAATAATGTAGATAGGTTCTTTATATTCGACAAAACTTGTGTTCCGAAGGAAACATGACATGCGAATTTGTACGAATTAAAGAAATAATAACAAAAAGAACCAATAACAGATACTTACTTTGATTGTGATGATGATGCTTGAGCCATTTTGTTGTGTTTGTATCCTTTATCTTGTCACCGCATCTCAGGTTCAGAAGGTCTATTTTGTTTGGACAATAAATGACAAGATTATGGTCAGTTTTTGTCTTTTGTCGCTACTCATCATACACTTTTTCAGCAGATCGTGAATCTGCTGAAGCAATAATTCATGCTATTCAGAATAGGGCAGCGCGCATTGTAACATTCACAAAGAAGTTGCCTTCGCAGCCGCTCGGGCCGGAGTCACGCAACGCTTCCCGTCCCCACGCGGCTGCTTCAAACCGACATACATTCCTTTCTCTTTGTGTTGCGCTTTTGTTTGCTCGGACCAATGAAATAGTTGTCATTGTATACGCTGCACCAATCACACGAGAGGTCGTGTTTTCTTTCGCGGGAAAACCCTTGCGGCATGCAACGTGCTATGGAAGAGACGCCTAAGAAGATCGTGCAAAGCAATAATAAGTGTTTTATTTGTTCATCTATCCCTACCAGTAAAAATAAGATCTATATATTTGGTAAGACGTCCACTGATTTAGCTGGACTAATTCGATCGTCGCTGGAATTTGACGTAAATAAATACCACGAGGACAGTAATTTGTTTGTTTGCCGAC